TGCGCAGCCGAAGGTACGACCTGCGCAGCCGAAGGTACGACCTGCGCCGTGTGCACGCTGGTCTTCACGGACGTCGCGGCGCTCCACCAACACTACAGAGACCACGCTCGGGTGCTGAGGTGACGCCGGTCAAACTCCGGTGGATTCACGAAAAAATTAAAGGAAATAAAATCCAGATTTAGATTTTGGACGTTTAAACTATTTTATAAAGTTTAGTTTGTTTTAAACTGTTTAAAAAGGTTCAAATAAAGTTGGATTTTATTTTATATTATTTTACTTAAATTAAAAAAGTTTGAAACAGCTGCTTCTGTAAAACATTTAGTTTTGTTTCTGTTTGAAACAAAAAATGTTTTTAATTTTCTGCTGCTGAAAGTTTTAATGTTTATAGATTTTTATTAATAGTTTTCTTGATTGTTTGTTCAAAGTGTTTAAATGTGTTTTATTTTTATACTTTTTGTTTCTTTAATCTTTTACTTTTAAAACTTCACGTGTCAAACTGACGAGAACGTTTCTTTAGTGATTTTAATAAAAAATTAAAAAATCTTTGTTTTTGGACTTTATTGTTTTTTTATTTTTATTTTTTATTAAACTACACTTTATAATATTTTTATGTAACATTTTTAAATCAGTTTATAATATTTTATTTTCACATTTTGATAAGTTTTATTTTAACACAGTTTAATACTTTATATGTTTTTAAAGTTAAATTTTATTTATTACATTTTGAGCTCCAGATTTTTATGACTTTAATAGAAATGTTTTATCGTCTAAACGTAGTTTTTATTTTAGTATTTGTTTGTTTTCAAGATGGAGAAACGTTTAAATATTTAGTATAAATTTATTGTAATTCTTGAAAAGTTCTTAAATTATTTTTTCAAATTTAAAAATATTTAAACATTTTGGAATTGAAGTTTTCCATTTGTCTGCTGCCGTTCGGGTTTTAATAGAATTTATTTTAAATATTTTGTTTTCTGAACATCGTTTTCATCTTTTTGAATCGAAGTTAAAACCTGACGAAGGCGCCGCTGCGTCTAAAGAAAACAGCCGAAAAGTTTGAGGTCAGACTAAAGAAAACAGCCGAAAAGTTTGAGGCCAGACTAAAGAAAACAGCTGAAAAGTTTGAGGCCAGACTAAAGAAAACAGCTGAAAAGTTTGAGGCCAGACTGAAAACAGCCTAAAAGTTTGAGGCCAGACTGAAAACAGCCGAAAAGTTTGAGGCCAGACTAAAGAAAACAGCCGAAAAGTTTGAGGCCAGACTAAAGAAAACAGTCGAAAAGTTTGAGGCCAGACTGAAAACAGCCGAAAAGTTTGAGGCCAGACTAAAGAAAACAGCCGAAAAGTTTGAGGCCAGACTGAAAACAGCCGAAAAGTTTGAGGCCAGACTAAAGAAAACAGCCAAAAAGTTTGAGGCCAGACTAAAGAAAACAGCCGAAAAGTTTGAGGCCAGACTAAAAAAAACAGCCGAAAAGTTTTGAGTCCAGACTTTGTTTTTATTTAGTGAATCCTGAAGTCTTTCCAGGCTGAAGGTTCTCAGTGAAACTCGTATTCGGACGTTTTTTATTCATTTTCACGTTTTACATGAACGTCTCCCATGAACTGTTCTGATGTGAGGTTTGTAACTGGATGAACCGGGCCAGAACCAGGACTCTGGACTCTTACAGGCCCTCTCTGATGGCAGAGACGTAGGGCTGGAACCAGTCCCGAAGCTCCTTCATCTTCTGGCCCAGAGAGGAGCCCAGGTCCTCGGTGGTGTCCTCCAGGCGCTCCTTGATGGTCTCCGCCTGGGCCTTCAGCAGCTCGTTCAGGGTGCTGATCTTGGCCTCGGCGTTGTCCCGAACCTGAGAGAAGTACGGGTCCAGTCTGAGCCTCATGTCCTCCACGTTGTCTGAGGCGCGAGCCTGAAGCTCTTCGATGTAGTCGGAGATGTGTCTGAGGAACACAAACCACAGCCGAACTCAGATTTCAGCTTCTCAAGACTCGCAATGGAGCATTCAGCCCGAGAAACATTTTAGCCTTTAGCTACTGCAAAGTTCAGCTTTTACTTCTAATCCTAGCTTTTAGCTACTGTTTGGTAAATCTGTCTTCTACCATTTTGCAAATTTTTTGTTTTTAATTACTCATTAGATCCTTAAAGCTTTTACTGCTAGTCTTAGCTTTTAGCTACATTTTTTAATTACAGCTTTTACTGCTGGTTTTAGTTTGTAGCTACTTTTTTTTGCTAATTATAGCTTTGCTGGTGGTTTTAGCTTTTTCTTTTTTTTGTTAAATGTAACTACCTGCAGCTGCTGTTTTGCTAAATTTCTCTTCTTCCATTTTTTGCTGCTGGTTTTTAGCTTTTAGCTTCTGTTCCACAATGTTCAGTCAACTCATCTGGACGGTTTCTTTTTTTGTGCTGAGACGTTTCACCCTCCATCCAGAAGCTTCATCAGTCTGAGGAAACACCAAACTAAACTGCTTCTCCACCAACAGCTTACTCCAAGTGGGAAAAACCAGTTATGTTGGTGCTAAGATGGTCTCTGGGGCGCACCTTGAGCATGGACTTTGTTGTTTTGAACCAGTTTGACATGACTGTCGACAGGGAGAGGGCGGGCACCGGAGGCCATCTTGGCACCAACATAACTGTTTTTTTCCACTTGGAGTAAGCTGTTGGGGGAGAAGCAGTTTAGTTTGGTGTTTCCTCAGACTGATGAAGCTTCTGGATGGAGGGTGAAACATCTCAGCACAAAAAAAGAAACCGTCCATATGACCCGACTGAACATAGTTGGATTTAGATCTGGATTATTGAGCATGGACTTTGGTGTTTTTCTTCTGTTCTCCTGCTTTTAGCTCTTGTTTAGCTAGTTCTGAGCTTTGTTCTGAGGGACGACTGAACCGACTTTGACGACAGAACTTCATTTGAAGGAACTAAATGCTGAAGACCCGTCAGAACTCACCTCTTGGCCTCCTGCGTGTCCTTCTGGAGGCGTTTCTTCAGCTTGCGGCTGTAGGCCGACACTCGGAGCTTGACGTCGTCGGCGTTCTGCTCCATCATGGTCTGCAGCTCTTGGTAGTACTTGTCCATCTGCTCACGGGCTTCGGTGATGTGGACGTTCATCTTGTCTCCCAGCAGCTGAAGGTCCTTCCCCAGGCGCTCCGTGGCCTCCTGGGTGTACGGAGCCATCTTGGTCTCCAGGTTGTCCTTGTATATGGCCAGGTCCGCCATGCTGTCCTGGATCAGGGTGCTGCAGACACAGACCAGGATTATAGTCCAGATTATTCCCGTTAAGGATAGGGGACTGAGACGAGCTAAAGTCCCATCAGTTGGACCAACAATCAGCTGAATACATGAAGGAGATCCCAGTGACTGGATCAGCGCCGGTCAGGAGGTGAACCCACGGTCAGAACGATGGAAACACGTTGAAGTTTAAACTGAACTGAGATCAGCACAAAGAGCCTAAAACTGCTCCACCGAAGTACGGCAGCCTGAGAGGGACACTATCGGTTAATTTCTTTTATTAATAAATTTATATATTTTTTAAAAGATGATCATCTCAAAGTTTGAAACATGAAAATATTATCTGGTACTAAATCAAATCAATCTGAAAGAGTTTTCTCCGGTAGTTTTTCTATTGATGCTAATTTCTAAGACGCGGGATGAGCTCAACGTAAACAAACTTTTTTTTATCGTACGTGACTCAACAAGTCTCAGAATAAATTTGTACTGTAACGAGAAACGTTCGGCTCCTCCGTGCCCAATGGTGCGTTCATGGTCGTCGCCATTATTGACTTCACTTTCAGTCACTTCACGAGCAGCAGCTGCCGGACGGTCAAATATTTTGCTTACAGTTTTTATTTGAAAAACATTTTAACCATCGTTGCAAGAAAAAATGTTTCTTTATGAAATTATTCAAATCAGTCTTTATAACTTTGTAATGAGAAAGTTTACTAATTCAAAAAATATTTTAATATGCCAAAAATTTGTTTATAGTGAAATTATAATTTTTTTCCTGTTTTTCTGTCAGAAAATCACACGAACATCACGTGAAAACATGATAAATTTACACGTTTTGAACTCCTGTGAGCTCGTCAAAATATTGTAAATTTATTTTAAAATAAATGATGTAACAGCCAATACACCTATGATTTAAAATAACTATTTTTATTTAAAGTAAATAGATCCAAATGTAGAATGAACATTAAAGTTGTGAACGTTAAAAATGTATTGACGTTAATTTAAACACGCCTCTGTTCTGATTTTTGGCAGTTCCAGTTCTCCGTACGGTCTCAGTATCAGCCGACCAACGTGTGGTCAGGTGCATCATCATCATCATCATCATCATCATCGATGGGTTTGAAGAAGCTCAGTTCACTAAAGGTACAGATAATATGACCTTTTACTTTAAAATTAAATCAAATGGATTCTGTTCCAATATTTAGGTTTTGTGCAAAAATGTATTTAAATTTACATTTTATTTTGTATTACTCTCAGATGGATATTTTACTAAGTCGTCTAGTTTTTATTTTTGTGTTTGTTTTGTTGACCGTCTAAAGATGGTTTAATTTGTCCTGTTGGTGTTTTAGGTGGAAAGAATTAAACAGCCGCAGATCAGAAGCTGATCTATAGCTGATCTATAGCTGATCTATAGCTGTTCTGTAGCAGATCTATAGCTGATCTATAGCAGATCTATAGCTGTTCTGTAGCAGATCTATAGCTGATCTATAGCTGTTCTGTAGCAGATCTATAGCTGATCTATAGCTGTTCTGTAGCAGATCTATAGCTGTTCTGTAGCAGATCTATAGCTGATCTATAGCTGTTCTGTAGCAGATCTATAGTTGATCTATAGCTGTTCTGTAGCTGATCTATAGCTGTTCTGTAGCAGATCTATAGTTGATCTATAGCTGTTCTGTAGCAGATCTATAGTTGATCTATAGCTGTTCTGTAGCAGATCTATAGTTGATCTATAGCTGATCTATAGCTAATCTGAAGCTGTTCTGTAGCAGATCTATAGTTGATCTATAGCTGTTCTGTAGTTGATCTACAGCTGTTCTGTAGCAGATCTATAGTTGATCTATAGCTGTTTTGTAGTTGATCTACAGCTGTTCTGTAGCTAATCTGAAGCTAATCTGCAGGTTATTAAAGGAACAATGTTCTGGATTAAAGCCACCTGAGGACTCACTCCAACTCTCGGCTGATCTGGGAACTCTTGATGTCCTTCACCATCTCGTCGGCCCTGGTGTTCAGGTCTGTGATGTAATCCTTGAACTTGTCCACCGTGGCGTCCCACGTGGTCTGCCAGTCCTCCTGAAGGACGCTCCGTCCATGGCAGGCTGGTCCAGAAAAAAAAAGTCTCAAATGACAAGTTTTAAAAGTTGGGGTTAAACAGTTTATGTAAAAAACAATTTTTAATTAGTGGCTTGAAAATATAAAGAAAGAACGTCTCGCTGGTGATCGGGTCCTATTTATTGATCCAAGTATTTAATGGAAGCAACTAGATTTATTTTTATGGCTTTAGCTTTAAATGAGCCTTAAAATCAACTCATTCCAAAGAACTAAATAAAACGGACCGTTTGAAAGACTGTACAGCTGTAGTTTACCAGATGTGTACAGCTGTAGTTTACCAGATGTGTACAGCTGTAGTTTACCAGATGTGTACTGCTGTAGTTTACCAGATGTGTACAGCTGTAGTTTACCAGATGTGTACAGCTGTAGTTTACCAGATGTGTACAGCTGTAGTTTACCAGATGTGTACAGCTGTAGTTTACCAGATGTGTACAGCTGTAGTTTACCAGATGTGTAC